GAATGCCCCAGCACTGCAAGTGTTTAAGAAGATGTTGGATAGCCATTTGTCTGAAATGGTATAGGGTTTCCTGCCTTAGGCAGGGGGTTGGATTAGAAGACCTCCAAGGTCCCTTCCAACTCTGCTATTGTATTATAGCAGTTTTGCTTAGCTTCTGTCCCAATGCTACCCTTGGGTAAAGTTGCAGAGTTGTAGACAGAGCAAAGTATCTGCTTACTGATCATTCAAATGAAGACTCCCCATGCTTTGTTATTAACAAGGGACATTAATCTTTAAGGATTTTAAACTGAAAACATTATAGTAATAATTCAAAATTATAAAAGACAATTTATATTAATACAGTAGCAATAGCACTTAGACTTATATACCACTCCACAGTGCTTTACAGCATTCTCTAAATAGTTTACAGAGTCAGAAAATTGCCCCCAACAATCTGGGTCCTCATTTTATCGACCTCAGAGGGGTGGAAGGATGAATTAATCTTCAGCCCCATAGGATCGAACTTCTGGCAGTAGGCAGAGTTAGCCTGCAATACTGCATTCTAACCACTGCACCATAGCTCCTATATTAAGACAAACTCTTATGGATTAAAGATGATACATAGGTTTTACTTTAAGCATACTCCAATTATATTTGGCAGAATAATTGGTGGAACTCCATTTTTATACAGCATGTCATGCTTTAGGAGTTTTAACAAATGAACTACATTTGCAGTTATTTAATAGTCATCCATCTGACAATTACTTTTAAAATAAATGCTATAACAGCCTTTTCCAACTTGATGCCCTTGAGATATGTGAGGTTACAATTAGAGATACGGTAGAATTTCTAATCAGAATCTGATTGTGGAAAGAAAGAAAGTGGGTTTCAGTTCCTAGGAGAAGACAAATATAAAAAACGCTATATATTTAATCATAATAAAAACATTTTCTCTTTCTGGAAACTGAGAAAGTCGGTCCCCTCTTTGATTTAAGGAGTTGGATTAATTATTCTGGCTGTACTTCAAGTCTGCATTTCTTAGATGAAGACAAAAAGCATTTTGGAACATCAAAGTGACACCATACTTGTTAAGTCAGCCATATTTTGCTGTACAAATGGACAGTTTCGATCATTTTTTACTTTGTTAAACAGACAATTATCTCTTTTCAGAGATGGCTGACTATGAATACAGCAATTCAATTCTAGTGCACTGCTGCCCATTATTTATTTATTTATGTATTCAATTAATTTATCGCTTACCTTTTCATTCAGTTCAAGAGGACCAATATTTTTTAAAAAAAATTGAGGGTGAAAAAGATGAGCTCTAGGTTCAAAGCAAGTCTAATGCACCTAGAAAGCCTAACATGCCTTGTGGATGAAAACTATTGAAAAAGAGCAGTCAGCTAAACTTTGCACTTAAGCAGCAAAAAAGAAGACCTATTAGAATAATTTGGACCAATGTATCTCAGGTTACATGGTGAAATAAAAGCATCTTTCAAATAGCCCTTTTGATCATCCCATTCAATAGGCCCACAAGCAAAGTAGGAACTTTTCAATCAATATTAATATCCATACTAGGAATCTACAAATAACAACTTTAGAGCAACAACAACAACCAAAAGACATAGTAATACTGCTGATATACCCTACTACTTTCCTGCTATACTTCTTTCTTACTCTGCTACCTTACCGTTAATGACAAAATGGGAATCTGTTGTTAATGGAAGATTTTTAGTTGGCTGCTAATTTGCAGAAAGGGAGGAATGAAGAAGTGGAAGTCAATCTAAAATATGATTGTCTGAACTGTGAAATCCATTTTATGTCTTTTTTAACTGGTGTGTGGAAATGTGTTTGTGTGTTAGAAAAAGTAAAATGTCAGGACTACACTGAAGCCCAAGATATGACCAGGGTCTTTCGTGTGTCTGTCTGTCTGTCTGTCTGTCTGTCTGTCTGTCTGTCTGTCTGTGAGTGTTGAGTGAAGGTCAAGCAAATCATTTTCCTGCTCCCGTCTTTGATATCCTGTTGTTTTTGCTGGCTTTCCCCAATTTAGTGCTGCCCAGACAGATGTTTGGCTGTAGTGCTCAGAAATGCATAGCCAGCATGGTGCTGGCTGGAGATACAAGAGCTGAAGTCCAACATAATATGGAAAGTATCAGATTGGGGGTTCTGACACCTGCCATCATTCCTTGCTAGTTGCTTTGTGCTACAAGAAAAAAAAGCAACACAAAAGAGGAACAGGAGATAAACTAAGAATTCTCAAAGACAAGCACAGAATCTGTAGGGAACATGAAAGGATTGCGAATAAAAAAAAAATGTTCCACAGATAATGTTATCATGTAGTCACCCAGGAGAAAAGCTTCATCGCTGATAGAAGGTTCTTTCGCTGATATCCTATGTTTCTTTCTTAGATAAAGTCTCCAGGGCACAAATCTAACAGCTCACTGTCATTTTTGTATTATATAGTCTTTATCAAACTGAGCCCTTCCCTTGCATAGCCTACTTTATGCAATATAAAAGGATAACATTCGGAAGGTCCAATGAAAATAAAGCCCCACTGAAATGCTGCTAGCAATGTGCCCTCTGCACACATAATGTGAAGCATCAGCTAGGGCCAAGTTTTAAAGAGCTGTATATTGTAGACATGTGCACATGCATATTAAGAATGGGTCCAGTATTTTGTATATATGTCTGCTGCTTAGCAACAGAAAGGTCCAGTACATTCTTATACTAAAATTAACAAAAGTGTTTTCAGAGTCAAGAAAATACACTTGAGGGCACAAAGATAAAACTGTCACCAGCATTGAAATGAGATTGTAGAGGAGAAGTGGGTAGGAAGGGATTTGGAAAATAAAATCTTTTAAAAGATTACTATGGTAGACAAAAGAATTTTTCCTCCTTGGGAAGACCATTAGTACTATTTTTTTTGTAGTGCATAGTATATGGAATATATGGCCCTGTGAAGGAATGTATGTCTGGCCTTGGGATTGAGAAGGAATGAACAAATCATTAAAAAATTAAGGAGCTGGTGGGCGAAGTTTCAGAAAAGATCACTCAGCCAGGAGAAAAAGGGTGACATGAAGAAGAAGTCACCCCACCTTGATTTTCTTTGATGGTACATAGAAATCCTGACAGGATTTCAAGATTCTCTTATGCTACGTTATAGCCGTTTGTTTTTGTTTTTTTTGAATCCCTATCATGCCATTTCTGGTCTATCTTGAAGATCTGACAAACCCAGCCGCCAAATTTGATTTCAATCCTTTTTCAAAGATTGACATGCAACACTAATCAAAATAACAACAGATCCTAAATTTTTTTAGGGGACATTTTAGCTTGTCACATAGCTGTATAGTTTGACCCCCTCTTCTTTGTGCCAACCCCTGAGATATTGGAACACTGGTATCATGTCTCCCCTAGTCATTATTTTCATTAAACTAGACATACCCAGTTCCTGCAACCGTTCTTCATATGTTTTAGTCCTCAGACTTCAACTTAAGGATTGAACTGTCAGCACCTTAGGCTAAGTTAAATCCCAAATACTAAGGAATTTCTGGAAGCTTGGCACTCAGACCAATCAGTCATCAACAGGCTCATAGAGATAAATAACATTTACAAACCATTCAAAAGAGATAACAAAAAAAGCTAAAAAAGAAACATTAAACCAGAATACCTCTTCAGCAGCTATCAATATCCAGATAAAGCAGGAATTAACACCAGGAGCCGCACCAGACAATCAAGCAGTAAACAATACCCTAATCAAGGAATTACCAACTCAGACAAGCAATCAAGCAATAAACAGCAACCTATTCAAAGAACTACCAAGGAAAAAACTACCTCCAACCAACAGACAGGGCAGGCTACTGTATATAAACAGAGAGCAAAACCTACTCTCTTCTAGCACTAGCCAGTTAATGACATGTCAACAAGCAATCAACCAAGCTCAGACAGCACCAAGGACTCCACAAACCTCTGACTGCTCAGTGGGGTTGGCACAGTATCCCTTCCTTCTGATATTATCTCAGAGGAAAAAAATAGCTAGGACCTGGAGGTCCAAGCAGAGAGCCAAGTACAAGGAACTTAAACAAAATACAGCAAATAAGATAGGATTAAGCAAACAGAGAACTCATGGTTACTTTGTCCTAGGAAGCTTCCATAAATCATCTTCCTATACCCGTGATGGCGAACCTATGGCACGCGTGCTGGAAGTGGCATGCAGAGCCATCTCTCCAGGCACGCGAGCCATTGGCTGTTGCTCTTCTGGGTTCCAGCGCACCGGCCAGTTGATCTTCACACATGCAAGAGCACTGGAAACTTGAAGAACAGCTGCCCAATGCACATGCGCGCACCGTGAAGATGATCTTCTGGTTTGTGGCATGCGAATGTGCACCACCCACCAGGTCTTCTGGTTTCTGGTGTGCATGCACACACGTAGACCAGCTGGTTGGTGTGCATGCATTGGAAACCGGAAGATAATCTTTCTGATGCACGCATGAGCACAGGGCGGCTGTTCTTCTGGTTTCCAATCACTTTGATTTAGAAGCCCTTGTTTAGGTGCTACTGAATAATCCCAGCAGTGCTACTTATGCCTGGGGGTTGTGTTAAATACTGCCACCTTAAGACCTGCAACAGTGTTTTGAGATTTTATTGCTTGAAGGCTGACTTATCTGCTGCCTCCCAAAGTATGGAGAAAGAACAGAACAGAGTTGGAAGGGACTTGAAGGTCATCTGGTCCAACCATCCTGCTTGAGCAGGAGACCTCATATCATTTCAGACTGACTGTCAAGTCTCTTCACCCACAGCTTCTGAAGGCAAACCATTCCAGTGGTTGATTGCAACTAGCCTTTGCGAGATGCAAACATACTAGCTTGCCAGTAAAATTACAGAGGCCAAGTTTATTGACCTTATTTATCTAAAATATTTCTAGGCTGCCTTGAAAAGTGGAAACCATCCCAAGCTTAGTTCAAATGTCCTCCTCCCCCCCCCCTCCACTGCCTGGCAATGATGGCAAAGGTGGACTCTAGTTAATGAAAGATGTAGCTTCAATCCAAAAGGGGCAGGCAAAAATAGAACAAATAAAAGACGCCAATGCATTGCTTTTATGGAGGCAGGAAAATGTCTACAAAGACATAGCAGCAAATGGGACAATGGGCTACCTCATCTCATGCATATTTATCAGGCAGTTTTGAATTTGGCTCTTAAATGCAACAAAGCTTGGTTCAAAGGCAATGTGTTTGCGTGATCATGTGCTCTTTCACAACACTTGAAGCTGGGTCTTTGATACCAACCAAAGGCTCTGTCTTTTTTTAACTGAAGCAATTGCTTCTTTTGGAAATTCTAATCCTTTTACAAATAGGGGTTCTGAACCCTCCACACTCTCGTTATCAAAGATAAGTCAAAGACGTCCTTCAAGGCTTTACCTCCGTCTGAAAGCCTTCCACCAAGATAGCAACCAACAAATTAAAGAGAACGTAATTTCCAAATGTCATGAGGGCTATGAAGTAGAGAGCGGCCCAGGAAGAGGTAGAAGCCATGCCATTGTAGAGGACTTTATTCCAGTCTTCCTGGGTCAGAATCTGGAATGAAAACAGGAATCATTTGATATAAGACAATCTTAAAAATGCATTCAGCTTTCTGCCAGGTAAAACTGTTGCATTTCTCAATGCTAAGCATCAAGCATACATGTGATTTTTGAAAATGGTAATATTATAGTATGCACTTAGAACTTGTTATGCCTTCTTTGCCTTTTGAGGTGTCTCACCAGTGTGACCAGTATTGGAACTGTGGCAGAGATGGCCTTATCCTTGTGGACTGTAATGAATTTTTTACTGGCTAAAGAAACTTCACGGCTGACTGAGTAATGCATAATACTCACTGCTTCTGGCCAGATGTGGCTGATTCTCCCTAACATTCTTCTAACTGGTGGCTGCCTCTGTTTTTCAAGCCTAGCTAGCATCACCAGAAACAGTAAAGAAAAGAAACAACTTGAAAACGCCTGGAATAAGTGTTTCTCTGTGTCTTTCTAACTCTGTGTGTGTGTGTGTGTGTGTGTGTGTGTGTGTGTGTATGTTTCCATATTTTATTTAAATAATCAGCTTCCCCCCACCCCCAACTTTCCTGACTATAGCAATTTGTTCAAAATGGATAATCAGATCTCAGTCTTTTACAATTCAGAGAATTTTGTTTAAGGAAGTTCAATAGCCTGGGTTAGAATTAACAGATACTTTAACTTGTGCTGCTAAATACCCTTTTCTTTAAATAGCATTCTTAATTTAAGAACATAGGCACTATATAAAACAAACACATAAAATCAACGTACACCCTTATTTCTACAGAGGGAATGTATTTGGTTGCAGCAACATAATGAGAAGATCAATTTATACTAGGGCTTTATGTATTATTTAATATCTTAATTACTAGACTCTGTTATTCACTTTTCACTACACCCGTGTTATTGATATATAACACGGTCTATAAAGAAGCAACTGATGTTCACTATATTGTTTTCAAAAACGTCAGCTGTAAAACAATTTACAATGAAAGGCATTGAAAAATAAAGAATTATGGACCGTAACTGATGTATTACCTGGAAAACAGTAACAATGGCCCAGAGCAAGGAATCAAAATTCTTCCTGTCAGGGAGAGTGTCTCCATCTCTCTCTGAGGCAAACTTACACCCAAAGAGATGCATCCCAAGGATACTGAATAACAAGGAAAAATAGGTTAAAAGAGAGATTAAAGAATTAGACTCTGAAACTAAGGAATATTTGGAGCACTTTCCTTATTATTCTGTTCCCTCTCATTTAAGAAAATGAAGGTCAGTTTTAATAAGTTAGAAAATAACTTTGATATGGCCAATTTATGCAACTTGTATTATGGCTTATAAAAAATACGGAAACACACAGGATATGGGAATAAAGCCAAACCATTGGGTTTTAAATTTTCTACACTACAAAGGCATCCAAAAGAATCAGAATCTTCAGGATCTGTATGCTTCTAAAAGTGTTTATCTCTTTTCAAATTCTGATGACTTATAATAGAGCTACAGAGATGAAAAAAGAATAGCTACAGATTTACATTTACAGAGCTGCAGCAGAAATTACTTCCCCTTTTAAATCCGGATAATTTCATGTTAAAACAATACAATATAATACAATAGCAGAGTTGGAAGGGACCTTGGAGATCTTCTAGTCCAACCCCCTGCCTAAGGCAGGAAA